AGGAGGAGGAGGAGGAGGAGGAATGATGGAGGCGTTATCCCATGGCAGCAGCAGCAGGAGGAGGAGGAGGAGGAGGAGGAGGAGGAGGAGGAGGAGGGATGATGGGGAGGAGGAGGAGGAGGAGGAGGAGGAGGAGGAGGAGGAGGAGGAATGATGGGTCGTTTGGTGCAGATGAACTCGGAGACCTATGGGTTCGTTCTAGCCGTTGATGATCTGTCTCCTAATGTAGGTCTGTTCTGGTATTTTTTCAGCGAGATGTTTGACTTCTTTCGTGCCTTTTTGTTGTTAGTATTCCATGCTACGATCGTTGTGCTCATCTTGCCCACGTCGAGTCGTCTGCATCATCGCCCAGTCTTCCTCGCGTACGTGTACATCACCACGGCGGTCATCATGAAGGCCTACCGGTCGTTGGCGGACGCTGCTCTGCACTTTAGCTTTTTGCCCCTCCTCGCGATCATGCTGTTGTGCTTGGGCCAGTCATGTACTTGATATGGAATGTCTACCTGTTGAAGGGAGGAGGGGGGGGGGGGGGGGGGGGGGGGGGGGGGGAGGGGTAGATTGCTTCTCTTCTCCTCCTCGCTGAAGGGCATGCGGGTTTTGTACTTGAATAAAATATGGAATGTCTACCTGTACGTGGCTGTTGTGCTTGGGCTAGTCTTGTACGATCTGTGGATATGGCGCGGAACCGGGAACGCCAACTTCTACTACGCAAACACCCTCGCCTACGCGTGCTTGCAATCCCTCTTGCTCGTACGCAGCGTGTCCACTGTTCTGACATTCGACCGAGAAAATAAAAAATAAAAAATCAGATTGAGAAAAGAATGTGGTAACCCCGCTGTTGTTGAGTGAAGAAACAAACAATACCGCTCTTCCTTCCCCTCCCTTGTATCTCGTTCTTCCTCCTCCTCCTCCTCCTCCTCCTCCTCTTCCTCCTCCTCCTCCTCCTCTTCCGAGGCCTCCGGCTCACCCTCGTCGTCCCTCTCCTCTCCTCCTCCTCTCTTTCTCACTCCTTTCTCCTCTTTCAATCGTCCTCCTCCCCTT